AAAAAAAAATTACTTAAATACAGTTTATCCTTGTCGATGATTATCCGGCAACGTAACACCACTCAACTACATGCAAATAATGCGATAGATTGCCAATCGAGGCGGCAAGGATCTTAATCACACTCGTAGTACTTGACGACTCGGCATTGCTAATCCCCATAGCTTTCGGTAAAAACTGTATAAATCCCCCTTGCGTCTCCCTCAACGCGGAAACGTTAGGTTAAATGGAGTCGCGTATTCTACCAACGGCTCGCTCACGAAAATAGATTGCCCAACCGCGTAGTCTATAAGCGCGTCATTATAATTAGCAGAGCGCAAGGCGACGCGAGGGTGTGAGAAAAAGGCGAATAGACAGGCGCGGTGGCGACGCTCTGTCGCACACCTGTTCACGCGTGCGCGTGTCACCGTCGCTTTTCCTTGCCTGTCGCGTCCGCGTTTTGTTCTTGCTCGGGAGTCGCGTGGACTTTTATTTGGGAATTGCTTAGAGATTAATTTGCCCGTCGAGGATGCCAAAGTGAAAGTTTGGAAAGTGGCTGGATTGCTCGTGACGTTCGTTGCAAAGACTAATCGAGTAAGCCATTGTCGAAAATCGATTGGCCAGTTCGGATTGACCTTAAAGTCTATAATCTTCGAAGATGTTGGTCATTAATATTAGCTAAGCTACTTAATTCGCGTAGGCGAAGGAATACTAAATGGCTTGAGGATCGACTTTCTAGTAAAATATTCGGAATTCGAATTTTGAGACGTCGTGATTGAGGTGCAAGGGACTTTATCGAATTGTTGACAATTTTAATGCAGGAATCGGTGGCGTCGGTGCTGATGGCGGTGGCGGCACGTTCACATCATTAATGTTAATGATTTTTTTTAGTAAGGAAGTAGAATTCCTTCGGCGTGTCAAAAATGGAAATATCGTTTATAGCAATTTACTTGACCAAAAACAATGTTTGAGGGAAATGCGATAGAGAAGTTTTAGAAGAACGTTATTACGACGGCATTATTATAGTCCTATTAATCGGTTATTATGGTCCTGTTTAAACGAATTAGTAAATAGTAAACGACGAGTCTACGTCTTTGATTATCGTCACAAGATAAATCGCCGAAATATATCCGCCACATGCACGCTTATATATTTATTCGCATATAGATCATATATACGATCGATTGCATTTTGTGCGCGCGCGCGTGCGTGTGTGTGTGTTTGCGCGTGTGAGCTCTCGCACTTGCTGGCGTCTGCTCGTTCAGCCGATGGTTTACGATGGTAAGAGGAGAAGAGGAGAGGTTAGACAGAGGAAAAAGGGAAGAGACCAAGATAAAGGGCTTTTTTTCGGGGGCAGCCAGCATCGAGTGCATCCGCGTGCAACTGGACATCGGCAAGGGCGGGGTGGGGGCGGGGGGGGGGGGGGTGCATATCGAAACAAAAACACCCAAAACTACGAGGAACAAAGGGCCTCGCCCTCTTCTCGATCGCTCCTTTCTCATCGCATGTGTCTATTTGCGTATTTTTGCACGCGCGTACGCGTATTCAACCCTTAACGTATTAGTCATAGAAGACTTTGTCCTTGAAATCATGTTATGCATCGTTTGTCTCGAAATTATTGGGCAAGTGGTGCGCGCTCTGTTTTTGGGCGCCATGAAGTTCATTTTTTTTTTCGTCAGAATGGCCGAATCGGCAAAATTCTTAATAAATAGGATACGCGAGGATTTCTCCATTACCCTTTTTCCTTCTTATTATATTCTTATATTTTATGGCTATCACTCATCACAAAACAGCAGATATTTATTTTATAATTTAGTAATTGTTAGTATTGTTGAATATTGATATAGTGGAATTTTTAAGTATTAATAGTATCTTGTCGCAATTTGTGAATTTTCGGTTTTTAATTTTTCAATTTCATTCTTACTCGCCGAGTTTTGTATTGTGCCTATTCAACACATTCGAAACTATTAAATTTTAATGTCTTTGTATAATAATTAGTTAAAATGAGTATTCTCACTATGGATCTGTACTTAATTTAGGTAAAAATAAAAATTATTGCTCTAATCTGAATAAATTAAAAAAAAAATCTTCATCAATTTTATTAAAAATATTTGGGGTTTGGGATTTGCAACTATTCGTCTCCAACAACTTTCTTATTTAAATATCTTCATAAAGGTCAATGTTCGTGCTTATCTTGCTGTTTGTTGTCTAATATTTGCAATTTGAAGTCACTGAATTGCATAAAATTAAACGACTTGTTAAACAAGCATTTTCTCACAGTGTCTATACTGCAAGTAATAATAGCTGTAATTTGATTATAATCAATAGTCAATTGGTAAAATAAAAATACTTCAAGGTTTTGTTATAAAATTAATAATCTCCCAAATGATTTAACATACGATTAAAGTATTTTAACGAAAAACAATATAGATTTTTATAATAAATATCAATGTTTTTTTTTACCATCACTTGAGACTACTCTGAATCTGAATTTGAGCTGCTTGAATTCATAGATAGAAAGTACACTTGTTGGATAGGGCAAAGATTCATTGAAAGTTTCATTGAATGATGTATTGAATGAATGATTGGTTTATTCGAAACTACGCGGAGTTATCATTGAAAGTTACTTTCAATGCGTGATTCGTTACGTACATTTCTGCACTTTTCGGATTCGTTTGTCTGGAGAAGCAATTTAGAAATAGGATTGACATTCGTTTGAATACGTACTTGGAAATTTTCGTGCTCTGACCTTAGAAGGCAACACCAAATTAAATCTCTATGTAAAAAAAAAAAAAAAAAAAAAAAAAAAAAAAAAATATGCGAATAAGCTGGTGGATATTCTTCCTGTTGATTTATAAGTGGTTGTATGTATTATATATTACATCTTATGCTTATGCATAAGCACCAAGACATCCAAAACCTTATTATGATTATGATGATATTAAACTGGTCCCACACAGTACTCTATAGAAACTGGTTAAACAGAAGCCGTAACAGTAGCATCAGCACCACTAGCACTGCTAGCATCATCAGCACAATCAGCACCATAAGCACCATCAGCATTATTAGCATCACTAACGGCACGAGCTTCGAATAATTATAGCCAAGGAATTTATAATTCGTATTTGTAATCCAAATACAGTCTGTGCGTCAAATTGTTGTTCTTATACCTCTTCCCCCGGCGCTATGCGTCCGCTTGCTCGCCCCACCCCATCCCACCCCGATTCACCCTGCCCTTGCAGAGCCGACCTCTCACTCTTGAAAAAGTTTGACGGCGCTCTCGCACTCGTTGAATGGGTCGCCGACGCGGCTGCCGAAAAATCGATAGCAACGAAAGCGAGAGTCCCAGGGCTCCCGCGCCACGACTCGTCCCTCCCTTCCGCGTCTTTTCCCTCCCTCGTTCGCCCATTCTTCATTCGACCGAGTCTCCGTGTCCTTTGGCGCGCATCACCCACACGCAGATGCGTACGTGTACGCGCCGGGGCGAGTTGTTCCGCGAGTCGGCTTTGTCGGGTGCCGGAGACCCCGGCATATGCACCGCATTACGTGCCGTCGTAACCTAGAGAAAGGCCATCCCCCCGTTCCGTCCCGCCCCGCCCAGCCCCGTAGCCCCGTAGCCCCCTCGACGTATCGAGCTAAGCGCGTGTCGGCGCGCCGGGGGATGTCCGGGCCAAGGTTTCGCGCGCACGCGCCCTGAATTTTTCATGCGTCAGGCAGGATTTCAAGGCCCCTTTGAATTCTCGAGCGCGCGACACCGAATTTCTTCACCGATCCGAGCTTATAGTCGAGTGATTAGAGACACACGGGGGCGCACTCATGTCGGAGCGGAAGTTTATTTCTGGACGAAACGCGGAATGCTGGGGTCGCGCTCTGCCCCCGCGGGGACCGCACTCGGGCGTGTTTGTATTTTTGCGAACTGCCAAGGGGCGAGCCGGTGTTGTTTGTTGTCGTCTCTTGTCGGTTCGAGTGCCCGTCGAAGATATTTATAGAGATGCGCTCGATTGCTAATTATCGAGAGGTTGGCCGGTTGAGTCCAGGGGCAGCCGTTTAAGAATGTCTATATGATTTGGGTATATGAATATGATCTATATGATGAGGGAGTGTGGCGTGCCTATATAAGCTCGAACGAATGACAAAAGTCATTGGCATCGGTCGTCGCGTATCGCTTCATTATCCACGAGAACAAAACTCTAAACGTTAAATTGAAAAAACTTATGCTGCTGGTGTCGTCGCAGCGGCGAAGAAAGAAATGCTCGTCACATACGGTTTTACTTCCGGTTCATAGTTGAAGTATTCAGCGAGTTTTGATTTTTTTTTTTTTTTTTTAAATAAGTATTATACTCATCATTGTCCTTGCAAAAAGTTTTGTATGACACTACTTAGGATCATCTTAGTTAAGCGAATAAATTTATAGAAATGTTCCTTCCGGAAGAAATTTGATAAAATTCATAGAAATGTTGATTGCGGAGAATTTGTTTCTCATGGTTACGTTAATTCAGTATAAGTGACGTATGCTTAAAAAAATTCTTCCTGATATTATTTGTATCAAGTGAAAGTTCAATATTATTTAATAGGCGATATCCTTAGAATTATAGAGCAATTAATTATCGATTTACCAACTCACTTGGCGTTGTTGTTATTATTATTATTCCACACACACACACACACCTCCCCACGTATTGGAAATTACTCAATATTCAGAAACGAAGCTTCCGCACTCCACGCACCAGCTAAGCATCTCTTTTATCTTCTTTTATAATCAGCCATTGAATGATGTATTTTGAATATTGGCGCTAAGCCACAATCTATTAAGCAACTCCCATACCATTTCGTCTCGGTTTCTTATTTGTAGAATCCGTCCTCTAGCAAGTGCTTCCTTCCAGTAGATCCGCGGAACGTTAGCTGCAGTATCGTTGGTTATACCAAAGACTTCAAAATTGGTTGGATAAAGCAATTTAAAGAACATAGCAGAAGGAAATAGGCGAACTGATTAGTAATCGCGGATGCTTTTCCCTGATTACAGCGGCGGCTCCGGGGCGAAGATCCTGGTGGGCAATCTGCCAGCTCACGTTAGAATCGAGGACGTCGAGCAGCTCTTCTCGAACTATGGACAAATACAAAACTTCGAGAAGGTGACGTCGCGCGATCCTAGCACCCAAGCTTTCCTCGTCAGCTATGAGACGCCAGACCAGGCACAGCAGTAAGTGAGATTATTCCGTAAAAGCAACAACAGTCTTAGGGCTTCAATCCCCCCACTTCACCCCGAATAAACCTCTCAACATCCCCCCTCCCCCCCGCTCTCTCTCTCACTCTCTCTCTCTCTCTCTCTCTCTCTCTCTCTCTATCAGCAAGTACACGATGTAGTACGGGATACGCGAGTAGTTTGATTGTAAGTAGTTACCGGGAGGTCGGATAATCCTATATTATTGAGCTTTGGTCTTGACATTGGAAGATTCGTTTGTCTTGAATTGTCTCGACGACTTAGGTTAATCGTTTAGTTGGATATGAAAAATTTTCTCTGGATTAGCTTTAACGTTGAAAAAGTACTTTTGATGAAGATGCAAGAGCTGTTGTATCAGAATGTTTTTGAAATCTTTCGTGAAATTGTCAAAATTCTTTATCTAAAACTGCGCATAAAGACTTTGTCAACCAATACGTATTTCTGTCTTGTTATTCGTAGTTTTAGAAAGCCGTAAATCGTATTCGTGTTCTTTTTTTACTTTTTAAAGTTCGTTAAAGTAGTGAGACACTTAAAGATTGTATTGCAATGTTTGAGCATGAAAAATCAAACTTTATGATAAGAGTTAAAATGAAATGTCAAAATTATCGTTTAAAATTATTTACATTAAACCAAATATTTATTCAATGCACTTAGTATACATACGTATTGTCGAACTTGATAAATTTCAATTTATATACATGATTTTATTCTAGATAAATAAATATATATATTCTTATTTTCGTATAAAAATCTACATGGAATATATTAAATATTATACCATGAGTACCTTATCTTCGATATTTCCAAATAGAAATATCATATTATTCTCTGTAAGATTCTTTCACTTTTCCTCATTATAAAGCTCGTAATTAATACTTGTAAGTTTGCATAAAATATTAATTTTTTTACTTATAAACTCCTCCTCACCCCGTCCGTTTAAAATTTTAAACATTCTCTAAAATGATGTAATGCTATTTGCTATTTGTTTGAAATCAAATCCAAATGCAGCATTTGGATTTGCAAAAATTATGCCAAAATACATTAAGTGATAAGACGTTGAGCGAGTAAGATTCCTAATTGGATCCAAAGATGAGTTGATTTTTATAAAGTTTGGATTGTCCTTTAATTAACAAATAATTATCAACGGCTTGTAAACTTTTTGTTTTTGTTTTGTTTTTGGACTTTTTATTACAACATTGCTACAAATTTCAGATGAAAATGTGGTACAAATGTGATATATCTTCAATCTTATATTTTGATATATATATATTTATATTTATATATGTGAATAGATGTCGAGTAATGGGATGAGATATTAAAATATGCAATTTTTATATAGCGACCACGCGTTGCTAGATACAAGTGTTTCGTAAAGCCACTGGCGGCCGATCGTGTGGCGGTCGCCAGTTGGACCGAAAAATTTGTCTCGACGGACACTGAAATGTGGGAAAACGATGTGTTGTTGCAGAGCCGCGAACCAGCTGAACGGTTACGAATATGAGGGCAATCCCCTGAAAGTGGACATGTCGACGGCGGAGAGTCGGCGTCGCGGACGCAGCCAACGAGGAGGTGTCGCCTTTTCCGGTCTACCGAGCTCCGGTCGTCAAACGGACTTCCCACTACGGATTCTCGTCCAGTCGGATATGGTCGGCGCGATAATCGGTCGCCAGGGCTCGACCATCCGGCAAATAACGCAGATGACCCGCGCCCGTGTGGACGTGCACCGCAAGGACAACCTCGGCTCCCTCGAGAAGGCCATCACGATCTACGGGAACCCGGAGAACTGCACGAACGCCTGCAAGAAGATCCTGGAGGTGATGCATCAGGAAGCCAACAACACGAACAAGGGGTCAGTTGATGAGGGTGGCGATGAGGCCGGCAGGGCCACGCGTCACCAAGACAACGACGATCGTCATGATGATAATAATGACGATGGTGGTAGTAATCGAAAAGAACGGCAGAACACTACTGACGAGATGATTGTTGGCTCTTCCAGCGAGATCACCCTGAAGATCCTCGCGCACAACAACCTGATAGGTCGCATTATCGGTAAAGGCGGCAACACCATCAAGAGGATCATGCAGGACACTGACACTAAGATCACAGTGAGCAGCATCAACGACATCAACAGCTTTAACCTCGAGCGCATCATCACCGTCAAAGGTAGCATTGAGAATATGAGCAAAGCCGAGGCGTTGATATCCAGCAAACTTAGGCAGAGTTACGAGAACGACCTACAGGCAATGGCGGTGAGTTTCTCCAACCCCTCGGCATTATTATTCCACTTCCTATCCGATATGTCGTTCCTCTAATCCACATCGTAACACCTTTATCGGGTACGCGTACGCGTTTTTTTAAAAAATTTTTTTTTTTTTTTTTTTTTTTTTTTTTTTTTTTTTTTTTATCTAATGATTATTATTATTACATTACATTATAATTATTATTAGAGTCGTAGCGAGAAGAAATGTCGCTATTCAATTCGATACTAATTTTATTGTCGAGCATGTCATCTACTTGTTATGAATAAACGTAATAATTACATATTCAAGCCGCTTGGAATGAAAAGTTACAATTAAATTATATCGATCGTGACAAGTGAGAGTAATAAACCGTGGAATTGCAAGTATCGTTGCGATTCAAAATAGTTGAAACTACATCCAATCGATTGAATTTTTTAATACTAAACGCCCAATTTATTTATTTCTCTAGCAAAAGGTATGGCCATTATTGGCCACTTTGTTGTTTTATTTCTGAATTATTGCCGAGATTGTAATAATTATGCTTGTTTCACATTGGAAAGAAAAAGCATAAACATTTCAAGTTTAAATCGAATGCTTTAATCCATGATTATCATCTCTTTTTTTTTTATCCTTTCATTTTAGTATCTTAATAGCATTCAGTCAACTATCCAATTGGCATAAACTAATCTTATATAATAATTAAATAATGCTTGATGCTTGAGTTTGTTCCTGAGAATTGGCCAACGTAATCAAATACCAAGAATATTATTCAATTTTAAAGTTACCGGGCGACGCAAATAATTGTATTGTATCGTAATGATTATAGGTAAATTTATCGAGTATTTTAATATAAATAACAATATAAATCTTACGATGCGTAATAACAATAATATTTACAAAGACAGTGATCGTGACGCCTTGACGATACGTATAAAATAATTTTAATATTTCTATTTTTGATATTACCGATGCTAATAAATCTTCATTAAATTCTTTTATTTCGTCATTTACAGTAAGTAAATCTGCGAAAGTTTAAGCGGTTGTTGCTTGTAAACTTTTGCTTGTGCGTCCTAGCGGGGAAAGTAAAATGAGTCTCAAGCAGGTTGGACGAATATTTATTTAAATCGACGCTTGCTCGCTCGCTCGCTCGACTCGCGCACAGTCATTTTCTATATATTATTTTGCTAATAAATTTTTGTTTTTTCTTCACGAACTTTTTCAATTTCACGACTTTTATATTACTTCAAAGTTACAATTACATTTTTTATTAGTGTATTATTATTTATGTGCTTTGGTTAAAGAATTGTTCATAACAACCGCACTTCACTGCAATGCAATAAAAAGTATTCGAAGCATATTGTCGAGTAACGCGTGCGGTTTTCATAATTTCCTTTCTCACAATTAATTCAATTATCATATTGTCTTTGTTTATTACGCTTGCGTCGTAATTACTCTCACGGCAAATTCTCGATCGTTCGGCAAGTTTTTCGTTGCTGCATGTGCCGACAAATTGTCGCACTCTTTTTATAAACAAATCTCATCTAATTAAACGAACTGTCTTATTCGACTATTTTAACCATTGACGACGACCTGCACGGTTTACTCGGTTATCTTCGAGAGGCTTCGTGGGAGGCTTCGGAAGCCTCTTGTTCAAACGACTTGAACGGCGATCATCTACGATAGATCGTGCAAAAGTTCGCCGTCACGTGTTTCTCGAACGCGTCACTTCCGGCACGCAAGGGCCACTCGCTATTCGAACATCCCTCCTCCTCCTCTCCGCCAAACCGTTCGTACGAACCTCGCCAAAAACCTAAACGAAGACTCGCATGCCCCGTCTACTCAAAGACCAATGCCTTAATGTAAAATGTTCGCTTGCAGCCTCAAAGTATGATGTTCCCGGGTCTACACCCGATGGCGATTATGTCGACGGCGAGTATGGGATACAGCTCGCGGGTACCGGCCCTATACAACTCCGGCCCCGCGCCTTACTCTTACCAGGGTAATCTCCAGGCCCAGCAGAGCGTACCGACGAGTGACGCCCCGGAGACGACGTTCCTCTATATACCGCATCACAGTGTAGGCGCTGTCATTGGTACCAAGGGCTCCCACATCAGGAACATAATTCGGTTCTCCGGTGCGAGTGTCAAGATCGCTCCCCTCGAGATGGACAATCCGCCTGAGCAGCAGGTCGAGAGAAAAGTCACCATAGTCGGATCGCCCGAGAGTCAGTGGAAGGTCAGTGGGAATTTTCACGTCTAGCTTCATATTCGATTATAACGGACGTGTCCGTAGCACTCGCTTGGTGTTGGACTTCGGTCTCCCGTTGTGTCTTGTTAAGCGCGTTCCGCGGCTCTTGAAAGTAAGGATTACAAGAAACGGAACTCTGTCGAATGAGAAAATATTATTACATTATGTCGCGAACATTCGGCATTTGCTGATAAATACGCAAAGGGAAAGTGATCCTGTGACGTTTGGGCGAATTTCGTATGAAGACTTTTGCTTGATGGATCAGGAAAAGAAATGTTGAGCTTCGATACTTGACACACGTTTCATTCTGTGACATTAAGTTTCGAATATTCAACGACATCCGTGTTTTTTTTTTTTTTTTTTTTTTAACTGACGGTCAATGATTAATAAAAACATTAAATATATGCTAGGAGACATATGTAGTGGCAATAAATTATAAGTCAATCGGTTACCCACGCTTTAAACAAATATTAAGAAAACTACATTATCGATATTTAAAAACTTAGTCTTGGTTGTATAATAATAATATAATTATTATTATCATTATTATTATTATCATTATTATTATTATCATTATTATTATTATCATTATTATTATTATCATTATTATTATTATCATTATTATTATTATCATTATTATTATTATCATTATTATTATTATCATTATTATTATTATCATTATTATTATTATCATTATTATTATTATCATTATTATTATTATCATTATTATTATTATCATTATTATTATTATCATTATTATTATTATCATTATTATTATTATCATTATTATTATTATCATTATTATTATTATCATTATTATTATTATCATTATTATTATTATCATTATTATTATTATCATTATTATTATTATCATTATTATTATTATCATTATTATTATTATCATTATTATTATTATCATTATTATTATTATCATTATTATTATTATCATTATTATTATTATACGAGCTGTCATTGTATATATAAAAGAAAAAGAGTAATAATAAGTAAATGTTCGTGACAATTACATTATGTTTTCTAGTTAATTTTTATTTCTTGTTTGCTCATAAGTCCTTATATATTTTATGTTAATGTTGTAAAGTAAAAACTCGTATAAGCCAGCAATAAGCACAAAATTTAGTTAAATTGAAACTGCTACGATATTTAAAAACAAAAAAAAAAAAAAAAAAAAAAAAAATTATTGCATCAATTCAAATTAGCAAATATTAGCGTGTTAAAATTTTTAATATAAATACAGTTTTATTTTTTTATTTTTCCAAATGACAAAAATCTGACACTTACTTTTGCACTATAAAATGGAGTGGATTTTCATAAACCAATCGAAACTTAAACTTAATTACGCTAATTGTGAGAGGTACGTTGCAAACGCGATGAAGGAGCAAATAAGTTACTTGCAGTATAATAATCGTGAAAATAGCTGCATAAATTGTAATTTAAATTTATAATTGATTAATTCGATTGACGAGGTTGATGGATCGTCCCACTTGCCCCTCTCTCCCCCTAGACCCAGAAGATCGATCGATAAACGACGCAAACCATTTTTTTCTATCAGCAATGAGCTCATCCCCGTTCTCCTTTGTAGGCTCAATACTTGATCTTCGAGAAGATGCGCGAAGAGGGCTTCCTGTCGGGTACCGAGGAAGTAAGGTTGACGGTAGAGATCCTAGTACCCTCGGCTCAGGTCGGTCGGATAATCGGCAAGGGCGGCCAGAACGTGAGAGAGCTCCAGCGCGTCACCGGTAGTATCATCAAGTTATCGGAACAGCAGTCGACGACACCCGCAGCCGACGAGGAGACGACCGTCCACATCCTCGGGCCCTTCTTCTCCATACAGGTAACGTAGCAACGGCGGCCTCTCGTCCCGCTATCGTAGATGCATTCGAGCTGCTTTGTTTCTTAGCGCGAATACCCGGATGTTGGATTCCACGTATCGCACGGACCCGATAACGACCGCAGTGCCTGGAAAACCAACAATTTTTCGCCCCCTGTAACTGTAACAGCGGTTACTCTTACCGCCCGTTACTTGATCCACGCGACAACGATTTCTAATACGAAAGCTTCTTCGCTCGTCTGTGAATTGAGATAAGATTTCGCGCCGGAAAGCAACAATTTGCCCGCGTGCGATCACGCGTAACTTTACTTTTTTCTGGCTAAGTGCTTTCACTTCATATTTGCGGCGAGGAATTATCACTCGTAGCGGCCCTGGCATTTTAGCATCTCGAGAAATAAAGTAACAAAAATGAAAAGCAACAAGAAAAAAAGTCCTTATTCAAAATTTAAAGAACCCCACGGGCCCTGATATACTATTAATAACAACAATACAAATAATAACAATAAGAGAGAATGTAATGTTAATTTAAGTTTCTTATCTCTCGGACTAATGACTCATTTCTCGTTCGGTTCATAGTCAGCGCAGCGCAGAATCCGCTCGATGGTGATGCAGCCTTCTGGTGCACCAGGTAGCGTGACGGGAGTGCTCGGGCTCTCCGGCTCGAGTCTCCCGGGCTCGAGAGCTGGACGCGGCAGTAGTCAAGAAGGAGGGATACGCTCGCGCCGCGACGGCAGCACGACATCCCAGCCCGGGGGCTGTGCCACCCCCCAGCAGCAGCAGCAGCAACAGCAATCCAGCCAATCGTCGCCCTCTTCGCAGCCTTCCTCGCAGACTCAGCAGCAGCAGAGCCAATAACCGGTAGCCGAGGAGCTCGAGCTAGTGACTAGGTGCCGATCGTTCGAGCGCCGAGAGGATCGTCGAGTCCTTATCACCTCGAGGAAATAAGCGAAAACCAAGAGAAAATTC